AGGGAGGGAGGGAAGGAAGGAAGGAAGGAAGGAAGGAAGGAAGGAAGGAAGGAAGGAAGGAAGGAAGGAAGGAAGGAAGGAAGGAAGGAAGCTTTCTCCTATTATTTATTTGAAATATCAGGGGGATATATTATCACCAAAGTTCTAAAGTCTGTTTCCTTTAGTTGACCTTGAAGAAGTTCCAAAGAGCACAGAGCTCTAGATCTTCGTGTTGATTTAGCAACTGTGGCACTCAATAGGCTCAGGAGTGTGGTCAGCAGCCTCTCTACCTCCTTGGTCTGCCCCTGTACTCTCGCTCTCAATTAAGAGACAGAAAATACCAATAGATGATGGCCAGACCATATATAAAAACAGAACTTGGACCCAGAATCTGAAGCAATCAGCCCAGAAAACCAACCTATTACCTATGGTAATCAAACCAAGAAGAGGGTCTACTATCCATACCTCAAATTTGTAGGAAGTCAGACCACTATCTCTAGCAACCAGCCTAGGACGCCAAACGGTAACACCTTTAAAAGTTGGCCCAATGTGACCAGGACATGATTCCCAATTTTTGTTCTTGCTTCCAACTTAAGTCCAACCAGAGAATGTCAAATACGCATCCCTAACCACTTACATAGAATGCCACACTCCTGGTTAGCTGGCCCACCTATTGCCACAGTTCCCTCCAGGCTCACCTGAGGTCTTTCCTTCTCTACTCTAAAGCTTTCCTCCCTCTGCCTGCCCGTCCATCTCTGCCAAGATGGAGTGATGGCGGCCAACCGGCTCCCTTGCTATGGAGCAAGTCATGAATAAATAGCTTTCACTTGTTTTCAACTGGTTGGCCTTCATTTATTTCCACACAACTTATTATACCAAAAAGGCTGGTGAAGCTCGGAGTTCTTAACTGTTATTTTGGTAAAGAGGGAAGCAATCAGCAAGATAAAACACATAAATCAGTATTTTCTAGTATGTCTTCAGACCAGTAATTCTGAGAGATGAAAATAGCTGGCCTGTGTAAAAGGGCTTCTCCAGTGACACAGGTTAAGGATCTGCTGAGTTAAATAACATCAAAGGGGTTTCTTTACTGCAGGGTTTGGGGAGCCTGTTGTATGCTAAGATGTTACAAATTGCCTGGAGGTGGGTACTATAGCCTTTCCAAACACAGTTGAAGACAGAACTTACTTAAGAGCGGAGCACTGTTTTTTCATTTAAAAATGCTTGGACATGCTGATGTAGAAGACCCTGAAGATCACTTTAGCTCTAAAATCTTCTAAGCCTGTAGGTTTATGGGGATTATGACCTATACTAGCACAATAGTGTGACAAGATATGAAATTCTCTGTGTGACCCTCAGGAAAGACACAAGTAAAACGCTGCCAGAACTAGAAAGTTAGCATGGAAGAAATCTAATCAACCACCTCTTTATTGGACTCTTCTAGCTTTTCTGGGCTTTAAATAAATAAGACGGATTCCTTTATACATCAAAAAAAAAGTTCTTGTCGTAAATGGCACCACTTCTTACTGAAAACCGGTTAAGAACAAAGGCTGGCAGCGAAAGCAGCAGGCCGCGCAGCGGTCCGTCTGTGCTCTGCCTCCGACGTGCCAAATCAGGTGAGGTCCGAGGGCATGGGGAGAAAAGTTTCTGTTCTGGCTGACGACCGAATTTGGATCTTCCCCTTGTTTCCAAAGGTGTAGATCCCAACATTGATTGTTTTCTCTCTTGCTCTCTCCCCTCCCCCTACAGGGAAAACACTATTTGGTAGTTTGAATGTGCACATTTCCTTTCTCACTTGGTATATTTATTTATTTAACAAACATATATCTCACTGCGCATCAACAACCGTTCTATAAACATTACAAATATTTATTTATGCCTCATATCAATCCTATAAGAAAGACAGTATAATATTCATTTTTACAGTTAAAAAAACTGAGGCACAGAGAAGGCAAGTTACCTGTCCAAGATCACACAGCAAGTGAAGAGTTGAGCCCAGCTGTCAGGCTCCAGAGTCTATGCTATTAATCACTATGCTACACTACCCCAGACAGGCCTATTTCTCCTTTCTTCCAGTTCTAAACTCAAATTTTGAACATAACTTGATATCTGGAAGAGGCTTACCCTCAGCACAATTCATCCTTCAGAAAAGGAAGGAAAAGGGGAGAAAGATATAAAGTCAGGAAGACACAGAATGAGGAAGGGAGAGAGTAATGGAGAAAGGAACAAAGCCAGGACTGGAATTGAGCTTGCACCCACGGAACACTTTGAAGTGTCTTCTTTGGTCCAGAAGGTTCTAACTGGGGGTCTTCAGAGGCACAGAAAGGAGAAGCTACCCCTGAGGTTCTTACCTCTTCCCATCAGCCCACCCCTTACTTTCATAATGAGCCAGGGGAAGGTGCCACTGGGCTCAAAGCAGCACTGGGGCAGGTGTTGTGACCTCTGTCTTATGACAGAGCCATGAGCCCCCGAGAGACTGCACTGTCTAATGTCACACAGCTAGAAAGTAGCAGAGTCAGGCTTCAAACCCAGGGTTGCTAGGCTACTCTCACCCTGCTCCATATGACCTGTCACTTCCTCTAATCCACTGAGAACTCTGAACTCACCTATCATCCCGTTTGTTTTCAAGACATCCCAATGCGACTAGCAAGGAAAGGTATTATTAGGAATATTTTACAGATGATTATATAATAATACTGGCAATTTTACTGACAAATAGTCCTACCAGTGTTTAGTTTTAGGACTGAGCTTTTACTATGTATTAAGGAAATCATTGGCTTCGAAACCAAAATAAGTGAGGTCAAGAGTCTTTGTTTTATGAGACTGTGGGGAGCTGTCTGGTTTCTGCAGGTTAAGTAAGGGCAGGAGGCACACTTACCAGTCAGAAAGTCGGGGTCAGGGGTGGGCTCTGAGATTTCCTCCAGGCACTGATTTTCCAGGGGGACAGTGGCCACCACAAGGCCATCTGGCAGCTGCTGGTCTAAGCCTCGAGCAAAGTTGTTTTGCCTGGAAACAGAGGCACACCTTCATTTCTGAGTGTGCAGGTGAATCCCACAGCTTGGTGGGCAATCTGTATCTCAGCTCACAATGAAAACATTCTTCCTGGACCAACAATTCCCCTCACTCTGACCCCCACTTAACGAGTGTGTCTGGGGTGGGACATCAGTGTGAGAGGCAGGGTGAGGGCTGGGGGAGATAATAAACCAGATGAAAGATTTGCTCAGAAGATAGAGACTATTCTTTCCTCCCAGCCCTATCCCTATTTCCCGGTCCTCTCTGCATAATACCTGGGGGAACATGGTCTCCTTTCTAGACTATGGAGAAGACTCCAGCTCCCACGAGACTGGGCATGACACCTCACTGCTTGCAGGTGACAAAAAGTCCCAGACTAAAAGGGGAAATGTTAGTCAAGTCTGCTGTCTGTAACAAACAGAGCAACTGACTCCAAGAACTGGCTTGGAAATTTACTATCGGTTTGCTCATATGCGTTTAGGTTCAGGTTGCTGTCAACCGCTCGTCCGTATTACAACGCTTTCATCGCCCTCATTACCACCTCCTAGGAAGCATGAGTCCTGAGGACGATGTATTCAGATAGCCTAAGACCGAACAGAGACACGGTTCAAATGGAGAATCTCCTAGAAATAGTCTAAGTCGATGGTTTGAAACATTCTGTTCTCAGGACCCCTTTACACTTTTAAAAATAACTGAAGGCTCCAAGTAGCTCCTGTTTATGTGAGTTACCTCGATCACCATTTACCCTATTCTAAATGGAAGAATTTTAAAAATATTTATTAAAAAAACAATTATAAAGTCATCAAATATTAACATGTTATAAAAATGATGTAGCATTTATTAATGCTAGAAGAGTAGCATTATTTTATTTTATTTTTTTTGAAAATTTTTAAACTGTCTGACTTAGAAGACAGCTGAATTCTCACCTCTGCATTCAACTTACTGCAATAAATTGTTTGGGTTCAGGTATCTGAAGACCCAGCCTCTCCATATTTGGAAAAGGCGGGACTCTGACTATTCCCCTGGAAGGACCTCAGGGATGCTCAGGGGTGCTTGGACCATACCCGAGGACTGCTATTCTAGATTGGCTCACACACTCATCCTTCTACTCAGAAGGAAAACAGAACCTGGTCATTTTTTGGTGGCTTCCATGGAAAATCTTCCAGTCCCTGCCTGGGTAAGGTAAAAATTTATTTCATACTTTACTGTTCACCCACAGGAAGCATGGTTCTCGAATTCTGGAAGGAGGAATGGAGACTTGGAGAGGACTTTGGGAGAGAATATAACCTATCCTTTTAGGGTCACATTTATCTTGCTCCAAGATGTAACACTTGATGCTGACCAAAGCTCTATAGGAAATAAGACCAGCACGAGGTTCACCTGAATGTTCCTTTCAGCACTTGTCCAGAAGCCACTTCCTTGGAATGGTTGTTGTAGCCAAAGAACATCTCCCCAAAGAGGGTCTGGTTCATGGGAAGCTCCCTGCTTTCCCCACAGTCACCTCCCTCTGGGCAGGTCTCTGCAATGAGTTGGCAAGATCGTCCATCCACACCCAGCTTGTAATCCTCAATGCACCTGACACAGTGGAAAACTCGAGAAGTTATTCCATCAATCAGCTACGCAGTCAACTCAACCCAGTAGTTTAGGGGGAAATGCCCTTGGGAGCATGCTGAATGGCTTAGAGATGATAAATACCCCAACTTGATTTCTGTCCCCTTTGCAACACAGCTTCTTAAGCCTGTAAACCAAATCCCCTTCCTCGATGGGATCACATCTAACCTGTCACCTTTGCTTTGGAGATAAAGGCTTTCAGAGCTTTGGAGTGCATCCTTTCCCCCTCTAAGAATCTGATTTCCCAAACAGGTCAGGGTAGGCATCACTGCAGATAAGCTTGTAAATGAGTTAACACACTGCTTTGTAAAATTTTTTTTTTTAAATCCTCATGTAAGGATATTTTTTCCATTGCTTTTCAGAGAGAGTGGACGGGAGGGGGGGGGGAGAGAAAGAGAAACATCGATGTGAGAGAGACACATGGATTGGTTGCCTCCCGCACCACCCCAACCAGGGCCCGGGATCAGCCTGCAGCCGAGGAACGTGCCCTTGGCCAGAATCAAACCTGGGACCCTTCAGGCCGCAGGCCAACGCTCTAACCACTGAGCAAAACTGGCTGGGGCACTGAGTTAACACATTTAAATCCAAGATATTTTAGAGTCTTTCTCCGGAACCATTTACATGGCCAAGACCCTGCCTTCGTTTGGAGAGTGAGTAGGCAGGAAAAAAAAAAAAAGACACTGTATTTAAGAAATTAATGACCTTCTAAATCTGGTCCTGTGACAAGTCAACTAAGAAATTAGGAAGATGGATCATCTTCCGGCTGTGTTCTGTTTAAATGTATCCAAACACAAGGTCTACCCATGTTAACTCCCCCTCCAATTAAACTAAATAGAAGCTGGGTCATGAAGTGTGGCACCCCCTTGACGTCCTCTCCATTAAGCGTGTACAGTGGCTCTAATGGAAGGGCAATACTGATGCTGGCAAATACAGGTCAATGACCCATAAGTCATTAACTGGACCTTATTTGTAGTTATATTGAGAAGACTATAATTTGTTAGCTCAAGTAAGAATTATTTTGATAGAGCTGTCATTTAAAAAGCATATTGATTTAATTTGGGTGTCGCCTTAGAAATAGACAAGATTTTGAATTTGTGGACGTTCATGGCCTTAAAATACATCTTTTATTACTACCTATAGTAACTATTGTAATAAAAGACTCTGTTCTATAAATAGGAACAAATAATAGTAGTTTTAAGTGGTGAGAAGCAATATTGTAACAGCAAAGACACTGCCCTTAATGGGTGACCTTGGGTCAAATGATTAAACTCTCTGAGCTTGTTTCCAAATCTGCAAAAGGGGAAAAAGCAGCAGCTGCTTCTCTGGGTTGTTGAGAAGATTAAGTGAGACAACGAAACTAAAGAACTTCCATTGTGCTGGTTTATGGCAGGCACTTGTCAAATGTTTCTGTGATTACTACTAGCAGGGGCACAAAATCGGTCCATGTTAACGCACTTGAACTACTTGCTCTCTCCATTTACATATTTGTGTGAACAAGTGTGAGCAGGCTCTTCAGTTATAAGTGCTTGTGACTTGGTCTTAGGGAGAATCTCAAATCAAGGACTTCTTTGTGAGGCTCTGTCTATACAGTGGCTTGGGAGTGCTCCATACACATGTGTACTGAATCCTGATTGAAACAGGAAAGCAGCCCAGTCAGGGATCCACTGCATTAGTATAGACAAAAGATGTGACTACAGACCCACAAAGGACTCTGTGGCACCAGCCTAGGTCTGGGACAAGATAGTGTGCTGACTCCATCCTTGAGCCATACCATAGTGTTTCTGGAAAGAATTTTGAAGCTGTTAGAGCCTCTCGGTCCACTGGGAGCATCTGGACAGCTTCTCCTTCCACAAGGCCCCGTATCTCTCATTTTCCTCCATGTTCATGGCCTTTTATCCCACTAGAAACTCCCTTGAGGGCAGAGACCAGATCTCCGTATCCTGCTGTCTCTTCTGTATCTAACACCTAACTTGGTTCTCTGCACAAGCTAGGTGCTCAAACGTATGTTTATTAAATAAATAAAGCTATGCAACTTGGGCTGAATTACCTCAAATAACTGAGGTGGGTCAACCATAATGAAAACATTATAGAGACATGAACATTTAGATCAAGTTTCCATTTATGGAATAGGATTGTATAAGAAACTGTGAAAATTGCTGGGTTGCAAAGAAATAAAATAAAATGAAATACAATAAAATAACATTACTATTCCACCAAATAATCTTTTCATGATTATTCAGTGGGAACTGGCTTTTAGCAACAATCAAGTACAGCTTTATTATTATAAACATTGATTTTCATTGTAAGCCTATTAGATTGTGAGATCCTTGAGGGCAAGAACTACATGCCATTCATCTCCGTAGCCCAGGGGCCAGCACCGTTGGTGGCATAAAGGAAGCACTCTCCTTGATAGGCAGGACAAGGGTGAGAGAGGGTGAGGGAGGGAGAGAGAGAAAGGGGGGAAGGGAGGGAGGGAAGGATAGACAAGCAAACTAGGGGTGTAGAAGATTAGGCCAAGCCCTGGCTGGGTGGTTCAGTTGGTTAGAGCATTGTCCTGTACACCAAAAAGGTTGAGGGTTTGATTCTGGGTCACGGCACATACCTAGGTTGGGGGTTCCATCCCCGGTCGGGGTGCACATGGGAGGCAACTGATCAATGTTTCCCTCTCACATCCATGTTTCTCTCTCCCTCCCTTCCCCTCTCTCTAAAATCAATAATAAAGATATCCTTGGGTGAGAATTTTTTTTAAATGGGCCAAATTTATATAACATGAAAATGTCTTTAAATATAGTTCGAGTCAGTGGTGTAAATTACAATTTTGAAGGAGCTACAGAAATTTTTTAAAACCAGGAGAGCCTGAATTCTAATCCTAATCTTCCCATTTACCAACTCCCAGTCCTGCAGGAGTCACTTAACCTCACTGTGCCTTAGTTTTCACATCTGTGAAATGGGTGGCACTGCTTGCCCTGTTCTCCCAAATGAAATGAGCTGATCCACAGTCAAAGGCTCTTTATACTGAGGAGTTACTGTGTCTGATGGAGGGTGGGTTCATGAAATGCTGGGACTTTGGGGGCAGAATTTAATTATGCTTCACTCCTCCAAAGTCTTCCCCCTCCTCTTCTTTGATAGTTGATTAATTTCACACAATCTTTCCCAAGCTTTTGGACCATGGAAAAGTTATCACAAAATACAGTTAGAAAATTCTGGTGTCATCAGGCAGTGACTATAAACATTTTCCTAGCCTACATGGGTGGGACCTGACTTTCCCTCAGGGTCCTCCCAACTCTGGCTTTAAAAGGGCTCCCCTTCCAGTCCTATAGGCTCTTTTCTCGGCCTGCGGGATGGCCTAGGGTCACCAGTTTATGTAGACATTCTTTACTGGGTTTAGCACTAAAGCCCCCCATCCCCGCAAACCAGATGGCATCATGGGCAGCTCAACTCACCCGCAGAACATGAGGATGTTGTACAAAGCGGGGTCGTCCGGGAAGGGCGCCACCTGCTGGAGGCACAGCTGCTCGCAGCCGCCGTTGAAGCCGTCAGAGCAGTCCACCCCTATGTGGCGGTTATAGCAGCCTGAGCTGTCCTTCATGGGGCTGAGTCCAGACGGGCACTGGCACAATCAGAAAACATCCATACAGGTGGGTGAGTCAGGGGGCAGGGGTCTGTGGAAACCGGAGGGTAGCTACTGACCCCTATTTTAACACTCGGCCTTGAAACCATTCACATTGTCAAATGATGCAGAAATTTCTCACTACGCTGGACTTTCTTTAAAAGCAAGTGACCTTTCTGACATCTTGCTCCTTCTCTCTGGGCACAGACCACACATATTTGCATTAAAGCCGATTCCCCCAAACAGGCTGGAAGGGAGCATTATAACAAGACAGAGCGAGGTGTGCTGGCCTCCTACCAGGCCTCAGGCTGGCAGAAGCTGGAAGTGATGGGGCAGAATTGAAATGTATCAGCAGAGGCTCCTTGGGTGAGGGAGAGGGAGTGTGGCCGTTTCAATTTAGTATTAATAGGACTTTCTTTAAGTGTCCAAAGCACTTTGTCAACATTGGTACCAGACACAAGTGTTGGAGGGAATGGACAGAAGCAGGGAATCCAGCCAGAAGGAGAAACTGGACTTCCTCCATGACCTTGGAGGGAGGTCTGCCTGCTTTCCTAGAGGGAGTGGCCATACTCATGACCTGCCCGCCTCCAGGAAGCCCTGCGGAAGACACAGACCTGAGCGCACACAGGTGTTTCACTTGGGATTGGACTGTACCCCAGTGCCCTGGGCACACTCAATGTGAGATAGTTAGCTTTTCTGCACTGCCGTGCCCTCAATAAACCCCCCAAAATGATAGCAAAGGAGATGATTCAGGGAGACATGTCAGCCAGAATCTGGATGACATGCTGAGCAGCAGGAGGCTCACAGGGCACCCATCTTACTCATTAAACATCCCTTGGGGTCAGCAGCGTAACCAGCCCCATGTTACATTTGAAACACAGCAGAGAGCTTAACTTCCCTAAAGTCCCACTGCCGGTCATGGCATGACCGCGTGGAGTCCACGACTTGGCCGCTCCATCACTGCCTCATATCCCGATCGGCCTCACAACAATCACCCTTTACCTCTTACTAGGACCCAGCGCTATGCTATGAGCTTTAGGTACTTCCTCTCATAGCATCTTGCATTACCCTCATTTCACAGAAGTGGAAACCACTAACATAGCCAGTTACTGTAGGGACATCTCACTGCACCGGACTCCATCTATAAGTCAATGACTACCCTTTGCTGTCCTGCTTCTGTGTGTGCAGCAGATCCCGCACGTGTGCATTACAGCTGACTCCCTCCAACATGCTGGAAGGAGGCAGATCACTTGCCCAGGGTCAGGCAGCGAGTATGAGGCAGAGCTGAGGTCTGTCTAGATCGGACCTGCTTTTAATGGCTGTGCTGTATACTGTCAGCTCTAAAACCAAAAACAAATCAAAATCAACTTTTAAAACTCGGAGAAGTGTTAACATCTCCCCTCCTGTCCTGTCACCTGGCTGCCTCTTCCTCTCGGATGCCAACCACCTTGGCATAGTAGTGGGAGCTGCAGCAGATGAGCCTCTAAAACCCACCTTGCCTCCTTCCTGTTTCCCATCGAAGATCACAGCAGGATGTGCACTGTTTGCTGACACCAATTCCGCAATTTCCCAAACAAATGGCACCCCTGCGGGCCTGTCAGGCTCCCAGCCCTGACCATCCCTTCTCTCCCTCCGAAACCAGCTGGAGTGCTGGGAAGTGACAGCGTTTAAAGAAGTTTCCAAGGGCTGCCTTGTGTTGGGCAAACCCAGATGTTCCAGATGATAGTAAACAAGCAAATGAGGCAGCCGAGGATTGCACCCCACGTTTTGTTAGCCCCCTGCCCATCCGCTTCCTTGGCCATCCAGCTGTTAGGCCAGATGTGCTACCAGAAGGGAGCTGGCTTCACCACTGTGAGGCAGCCCAAACATGGATGTGGGTCTTGAAACACAGAAGTTTGATTGGAATTAAATGGGCTGCACTGGTTGCCATGAGGTTTTTGGTTGTTTTTTTTTTTTTTTCCCTTCTATAAAACTTGAGAAGCATCATCAGAGTAGCGACAGAGCCAGTCCTGTTATCCACCTCATGGGATTTCAATCCTTGGACCAGCTAGCTCTCTCAGTCACCACCCAGCTCCCATCTCTTCAACTACCTGCTTTTTCCAGGATGCCCAGTCAAGCATGGTTTCAGACAAAGACTTCATCAAATAAAACTCGAGCGGGCTTGGTCCCAGAATTCCAAAGTTGGGCACATCCACACCTTGTGTAGCCCTGGTGTCTAGATGACGTTGGTGTATTAAGTTAGACCACCCGGTATTTACACTTTCTTAGATTTGAAGAGAAGACAAAGAATTAGCTGCCTTGGATTACTCTTTTCCTATAAGCAAAGCTAAAAATAATAACAGCTCTAAGGAACTAAACAATTCCACAAGCAGGATGATCTACATATATTATCCTCAATTGGACAATAGAGGTGGACTTTTTTCCCTAAGATTTTACAGAAAGGCAAAATCAAACTCAGAAAAATTAAATAATCACTTGGTTAAGGTCACAGAGGTGGGAATCAGAGTTCCGACCCAGATCTGACACCAAAACTCACGTGTGTCCCTTCCACTCTGCCTCGTTGCTTCTCAAGTGTGAGAAAACCTGGGTTCCCTGGAATCCCTGAAGAAATACAGTCAATGTGTCAACAAAGCGATCCTGTCAATGTGTTGTTTGTCTGTCTGATTGTTTTAAGCAACTCCCGGAGTACATTCTGAAATCACTGATGGATTCGTAGCTTCAGTCTAATCTTCATATTCTCTCTCTCCTCTTTCTCACACACACACACACACACACACACACACACACACACACACACTGAGGGTGCACATATTTATAGAACAAAACACTGCAAACTGTCCAGAGCCATGACCTTGAAGACAAGCCACGATCCTCAATCACTGAAAATGATGTAATTATCTTTACTTCACTGTAACCTACTTGGGCTATAGTTCAAAATAAACATTTTTGAAAGATTTCCAGAAAAAAAAAAAAAAAAGCCAAAACCCAAACCAGAGTTTCCTCTTAACCCTTGTTGAACCACAGGCCTCCTCTGCACGGAGTCTGCCCACTCAGGTTCCCCACTGTGTGAGCATGTTTTTGCCTAAACACGCCTTGTCCTGTTGTATTCCCTCTGTGGGCTCCTCAAAAGCTCTATCTAAACACAAAGCAGTGGCAGGCTCCGGACCACACCCTCTTTCTAGAAGTGGCTGTAGCCAGAGCCCAGCTGTCAAGAGGGAAATCCTGCCCCCTCGGGGAGCCTGCATTTTCTGTTTGCTAGCGCTGGCCACTCTCCTCCCCTGGCGTGGGGAGACTCCCTCCCCTGGTTCCTTGAAAGAGAACCGTATGCTCAGGATGGAGCCCCAAGGTCACATCCTAACCTCTCACTGCATAGGTTACATTAAGCAGTCCCGGAGCCTTTATAAACCACAGGCTCAACAAGAACATTCTCTCTCTTATGGCAACAACCCTCCCCCATCAAGAAGGCTTAATAAATGAGCTTCAATTTCGGTGACCCCTAAAATATACAAGGTTAATCATCTTTCATGAGATGCTCATGGCTTTCTCACTTATTACTGATCTGAGGCGTAATTTGCTAATGAGCTTAAAATGATTTTCTCCATTCAACTCGTTTTCTTCCCCACCTTTCCCTTCTTTTTCTACCAATGGTTTTGGGTTGATTAATCACTTAGGAGTCTGGTCAAATATCACCGAGCCTGAGACACATGCACCTGAGCGCAGGTTATGAGCTGGATGCTCTGTAGACACAGAGCAAGAGTGACGGCCACAGGAGAGCGTCTGGGGCCCTGGGGGAGAGAGGACCCCTCCCTGTACCTGAGCGTATCTGGTCTTACCTGGGGGACTCAGAAAACATGCAACTGTAATTCCTACTCAAAATAGGTTCTCTTTTCCTACTTGGCCCTTTTATTCCTTTCACCAACAGTGATCTTCTGAGTTTTTCCTGAGCTCTGACAGGGAAGCCTAAGGCAGGCAGGGGAAAAGTTGGATGGCATTAAATGGATGTTTCAGCTTCCCGCCCCCATATCACTGAAAGCCTCTGAGTGTATCACTGAAACACTCTCCCGCTTACTGTCCTACAGAGAGGGAGAGAGAGGGTCATCTGTAATGGTCTCTGCACATCTGCGCTCCGGGAGAGGTGAAATGACACATTCGGCGGGAAACCACTGCGGACAGCATGTGGACAGCATGTGGACAGAAGGGCAGCAGGGTCACTGGGTAATTCAAAGCTCGTTAGAGCGAAATGATCTGGCCGGGAAGGTCATGTGTTCAACACGAGAACGCTGGACGGCCCACCGCTCGCCTTCCAGGGCCAGCCAGTCACCTGAGCACAGGCAGATGTGTCACACAGCAGAGGCCATGGGGGGCCGCTTTCAGGGCACGTGAGATGCGGAAGCCACAGTACAGCGTGGGCTTGCCGCTGTACTAGCATTGGAAATCATTTCCAAACTCTCTTTTCTTTTACTTTACTGATTTGAGAGAGAGAGGGAGAGATCGATTTGTTGTTCCACTTTTTATGCATTCAGTGGTAGATTTTTATATGTGCTCTGACCAGAGACTGAACCCACGGCCTCAGTGTGTCAAGATGATGCTCTAACCAACGGAGCTACCTGGCCAGGGCTCTCAACTTTCACACAAAGTTTTATACTAATCCTCAAGGTAGGCTTGACAGGAGTAAGGATGCTCTGGTTAAAACCCGGAGTGGCCGGACTACAGTCCTGCCTACCGAGTCCGCTCCAAGCCCCCGTCCATTGTGCCATCTCCCACTGATG